TAGGGAGTGTGCAGGAGGCAGCTGATCGATGTTTTTCTCTCATCGATGTTTCTAACTCTCTATCCCTCTCCCATCCTCTCTGTAAAAAATCAATAAAATATATATATTTTTAAAAAGAATTACATCTGTAGGAGAATGTAACTATCCTATATAATCCTGTATAATAAAAGCTAAAGGTGAAACAACCAGGAATTACCAGTTGCTATGATATGCACTGACTACCAGGGGGCAGATGTTCAATGCAGGAGCTGCCCCCTGGTGATCAGTCCACTCCCACAAGGGGAACTCTGCTTAGCCATAAGCCGGGTTGATGGCTGCAAGTGCAGTGGTGGTGGTGGAAGCCTCTCCCACCTCCTTGGCAGCACTAAGGATGTCCAACTGCAGCCTAGGCCCGATCTCCCCGGGAGCAGGCCTAAGCTGGCAGGTGGACATCTCCCAAAGGCTCTCGGGCTGTCAGAGGGTGCAGGCTAGGTTGAGGGACCCCCAGAGTTCACGAATTTTCATGCACTGGGCCTCTAGTAAAAATATATTTTTTTAAAAAAAGAAATGAAGCAGGTGGCTTTCCTTGTGGGAGTTGTGACTGGAATGGATCATAAGAGGAGTTTCTGGGGTGCTAGTCAACTTCTATTCTTTGGATTTAACACCATTACACAGGTGTGTAAAATTCGTGAAAATTCAATGACCTGTATACTTACAATGTTTTCATGATATAGTTATACTTTATAAACGTTTGAAATGCCCATACCCTCAGACCTAACAACTCCTTTAATCCCATAGAAATTAAATGACTAGTAAGTAAGGGTTATGTACAAAATTTTTATAGTAATATCAAGGTTCAAGAAAATTGGAAGTAGCTTGAATTTTAATTAATAGATGAATGATTAAATGTGGTGTGCTTCATTCACACCACGGAGTAATATGGTAATTAAGAAGATTATTGGATTTCTACCAGCTGACTCAGAGGCATCTGCAGTGTGTGTCATTGAGAAAATCCACAGAGAAGTATATAAGTGATGCTTTCATATTTATAAAATAATCTCTGTGTGTTTTAGTGTGCATGAGAGTACGTGTTAATAATATTGGTTACTTAGGGTGGGTGGGTGCCAGAGTGGAGTAGAGAAGAGGAGAGGAGCATCTCATACACACATATTCATAAAACTACATTTGGAAAAAGTGGCTCATTATTAAAGAAGAAAAAAGTCATACACATTCTGCCCTCATGCATGTGCAGTTGGACATATTCATAAAGAGATAAAGAAAAGAGGGGTGTTTTAAACGTTAATTGGTTTCTCAGTCTTGTGGGATTTCATATATATTTTTAAACTTCATTTGTCATACTTATATGCATTGTTTGAATTTTTACAATGTGTATGTATAATTACATGACCAAATATACAATAAGCTTTTTTTCATTATAAAAGTAAATTTGTGATAGGTGAAGAAATTGGTATTTATGAGAAATGTAAAACAAACATTGATTAAAAAGCTACTGAGTAATTTGAGAAGATATTTTTTAAAAGATGTTACTAAAATGCAGGAGCACAGAAATATGGAGGTAATGATTAGACTTAAAATGATTTGTATTGTTAAAAAAGAAGGTTCAAAAACTATGTATGATATTCAAACATGGGAGAGAAATTTACAATTTAATGACTGTGTATATGCACTGGTAGGGGAGAGGACACATCTGGAATTATTCACAATGCATTGTCTGGGCCCCAGTGGTTGCCTATGGGAAGAGGAACAAGATGGACATAGACTTACTTTGACTGTATAGCTTTGTGCTTTTTAAAAAAACAAAAAACAACACAAAACTTTATAGTAAGTATTACCCCTTCAAAGGAGTAAGGGAGGGGGAAAAAAAGAAGGAGACAGAGAGAGGGAAGAGATGTTAACTTCAGTGGTTTATCAAGAGTCAACATTAAGATTTGTTTTTCTTTTTCTGACAGTATCATTGCTCACAATAGCACATCTGAGTGGTAAAATAAAAATATGATTAGCTCTTTAAAAATATCCTTATTGATTTTAGAGAGAAAAGGAGAGGGGGAGAAAGAGATAGAAACATCAATGATGAGAATCATGGATAGGCTGCCTCCTGCACACCCCCTACTGGAGACTGAGCCTGCAACCCAGGCATGTGCTCTTGACCAGAATCAAACTTGGGATCCTTCAATGCCAGGCAACGCTCTATCGACTGATAGAGAGGCCAAGGCAGCTCTTCTTCGTTTCTTTTTTTTTTTTTTAAGTCAAATGAGACTGTCTCCTGTGAGTCAATAAATATAAGTGTAAATGTATATAAGAATGCTCCATTTATGATCAACTTGGTTGTCTTGTTTTCTGTATTGAATAGAGATAAATGTACAGTCCGATGCAATGAATGGACAAAGGATTTCTATATAGAAAGTGAATCAATCCAATGATTTTGAGGAAAGGATAGGCTAATCATTTCATGAACAACTTTTTGTGGGTAGAAAGTAGTTCTTGGAATGAAATGTTCACTTTTTTTCTGGAAAAATAGGCAGTGGGAGTGCTGGGAATTTATTATAGTGTGCCACATATTATCATGAAATGAGATTTATTTTCCTTGACATAAAATGACTGCAATCTTTTCTGTTGCCATGTTCTGGTTGTTGTTTTTTTCTGTATAAGATTTCATCTTATTTCAAATTCCAGCAAGTTGCTTATATCAAGAATAAATGGATTAAAATAGATAATGAGAACTAAGTAGAAAAACTTGCACCTCCTGTCAGATCCGAACAATTCTACTGAGCACAGCACAGTCTGATGGAAGATTTTCTGTCAGTGCAGCCTTAAGAGAGTTCCTTCTCTAAGTTGTGGCCATGTTTTTGCAACATACAAATTAATTAAAAGAATAATGATCTAACCATCTGTGATGGTTTATCATAGGCTGGAGTCCTGACTATACAAAAATAAATAAGGAGTAATCTCTTCATGGATATTCAAATTAGTCAAAGAGATAGATGAATAAAATCATAATTACAATACTATAGAAAGGCTTCTAGTTAAAGAAGGTGTCATAATATGTGCATTTATCTTCACTCCCAATTGAAACCCAATTAAAATGACAGCAAAGGACAAAATTAAATTTAAAGGCATAAACCTACATGGAAAAATAGAACAGAAGAAATTATGACCATAGAATTTATAAGGATGAAACCCAGATGGATGAGTAACAAATAACTTCACAAACCTGAAATATCATCAACTTACAATGACTCCAAAGTTCCCATATTGTTCAACGGTGTCAGACCGCCCTGGTCCATCTGTCAGGTCTACAGTGCCGAAACGCTGACAAGACACAGGCAACTCACAGTCCTCATTACAGGCATTTCCTTTAACGTGTAGCTTGGGCTTTTTTTCAAATGAGAAGTATTAATCTTGTTAAAATACTTTAATGATTGTATATACCTTTTCAGGAAGGGTAGGTACATATTTACGTGCAGACTAGCATAATCATTGGCAGCAAGAGACATTTACATGACTTGATTGCTACCCTTGCCTATTAGAATCAGAACTCTAAAAATTCAACAATACCTTATCTCCCAACAGCACTCTGAACCAGTGAGGAAATAGGTCAAAATAGAATTATGAAAAATGAACTTACCAAGATTTGTACAGAAACCAGTCATACTACCCATGGCTCATGTGAGTAAGATTGTCTTCCTCACAAAATGTTCAGAGTAGACCCATGAGATTTCTGGTTATATAAAATGATGGGACTTAGTGGAATTAGCACATGACATGAATAAATGGACAGAAAATGTTACAGAGAAGTAAAAGTTCCCACATCCCAAGCCTGCCTGTTCTTTACCCGTCTTATCTGTAAGTAGTAATCACCAAATTGGTTTAAAGGAGCTGCAATCATTCAGTCAATTAATGCTTCAGCTCAGTACCCCACTCTGAAAATCAGCCAATCCCTAAACTCCAGGATAAACATCAGCCAATTTATACAACAAGAAAACATCTACAAGGATAGAAATTATTTAGAAACATTGTCATGCAATATCAGCTAATCAGAACAACACAACATCTAACATAAAAGAGTGGAATAAAAACATTTTCAGACTTTCAAAATCTCACATGTTTATCTCCATGCTCACTCTTTTTAACAAGCTTCTAAAGGAGATGATTCATTATCTACACTAATAAAAGACAAAGATGCTAATTGACCATACCTTTGCCATGCCCAAGCCACACCCACCAGCCAATCAGAGTGATTATATGCAAATTAACCCAACCAAGATGGCGGCCAGAAGCCACCGAGCTGGAGAAGCAGGAGGCTTGGTTGCCCCGGCGATGGGGGAAGCCAAGCTTCCCACCTGCTCTGGCTGGCTGTGGCCTCTGCAAAAGGCAACGAAATTTCATTTATAGAAGCTAAATAAATCCCAGATA